AAAAATATTGATGTAGACACATAAAAGTTTACTTAAGAATTATCTTTAATACTAAAATTAATTTATTTAAGTCTCCGAAAGTTACGGTTTTTCTATATGTCGCATGATAAAAAAGGTATCATTGTAAAATGTTATTCTAACCATGAATTTATTTGCATAATCCAAATTAAAAATAAATGAAAATGTTTTTATTCATTATTTTAATCATTATTGGGTGTTAATTATACTTACTAGTAATATTATTATTGTTATTCTTATTATTATACAATTAATTATTTTTATTATTGTTGTTTTGTTAATTTATTGCTATTTTTATTATTACTATAACTATATGTGTCTATAATATGTTTTATATTATCAAAGAGGTTTTTACTTTACATTAGTTTTTATAACTATTTGTAACGACCGTGGAAGTTAAATCTTTTTTCCAGAATATATAATTGAATTGATTAATTGAAAATGGAGCTAACATGTTCAAATTGTTGTTGGTCAGATTTTGTACTTTATAAAATATAATATATTTAATATATTATATAATATAATATAATTTATAATAAATATAATATATATTATACATTTTAAGAAACTAATGAATGAACTTTTGCAATTTTTATGTAACGTAAGGTAACAAAAGCATGATAAAGTTTTGTTTTTTTTTTAAAAATTAGTTAAAAAACTTAAGTTTTTTAATAATATATGCGGAAGAATATTAAATGTTACATTTTTCTTCAAAAATATTTTAAAAAATTAATGTAAATATTTTGCAATATTTTAATTCAACCTAATGAAAATAAGGCAATGCGCATAAACGTAAGAACTGTAAATAAAAACTTTGATAAACCAAAGATTTTCTTATTTGAACGACTCAAATATTAAATGTTGTAATACTAAAATAATTTTTTAAAGTTGTTTTTGGTCTAAAGGAAAAATTGTTTTCGATTTGATAACTTTTATAAATGTTGTGAAAAATCACTCAGGAAAAGTGCCACTAGTTTATTAAAATTTCCTTTGTTAATTATTTTTAATGAATAAGTTCAATACCTTAGAAATTGTTTTATTACGTAGCTCTAACTCGAAATAAAAAAAAATTTAATTCCACAAGACGAAAAATTCGCGCGAAGCGAATTTTTCGTCTTGTGGAATATATATATATATATATATATATATATATATATATATATATATATATATATATATATATATATACATATATATATATAAGTATATATATATATATATATATATATATATATATATATATATATATATATATATATATATATATATACTTATATATATATATATATATATATATATATATATATATATATATATATATATATATATATATATATATATATATATATATATGTAGATGGGGGTAACTAAAGCCAATTTAGAAATTCAAACTTCTGCCCAAGTCAGACTCTTTAATTTATAGGTTGAATAAATATTGCAAAACTTGGGTCTGTGGTCATATATTAAAGAAATATATTCATAAATTGTAGAAATATACATTTTTTTAATAAAAAAAATGAAAACATGGTGGCTTTAGTTACCCCTGGAAAAGGGGTAACAAAAGCCATCCATTAAAAAGCAATGTTTGGCTTTAGTTAGAGAGTGCTAGGGTAACTAAATCCATAAATCATGCATCTGTAACAATAAAGAACCTCTATTGACAAGAAAAAAGCTTTATTATTTAAATTTAATAAAAAGAGACAAAAATTTTATTTAAAATAGGTCTTGTTGAAATCAGTGCTTTACCGGTACTTCATAAGGAAAAGTATAACGTCCTCTGTTTACTTTGGATGGTTTCACAATTGAAATGACGTCTGTTAACTGAATGTCTATTTCGTCATCAACATTTGGAAATATATAGTCATTTCCCTTTTTATTTGGAGCTTCTTCTGAAAAACTTTACTGTAACTTCGTTCTTCTCAAAACAAGTTCTAAGAATGACTCCATAGAACTGTTTGGTGGTTTCTTTTTTGTGTTCTTATCAAAGATGAGCTCAACAATGACGTAAATATCAGGTTTAAATTCTCCTTTAGAGACTCTTATTTTGGGGGGTTCGTCATAAGTTGTTTCTTCTAGTTGTAGATCTACTGGTATCTCCGATTCCAGATCACTAAATGTTTCTGGATCCATATCTGAATTAGAGTCTCTCAAAGAATACTGGTCATCACTATCATCAAATGAGTCGGAATTCGCAAGTTTCTTATTATGTTTCAAAGTCTTTAGTTTGCTGTGGTTTTCCTTTGTTTTGGTATTGGGTGTATTGGACCTATTTGGTTGAGGATCATCATCATTGATCAGAATTGTGTCTTCAATCCTTTCAATCCCCTTTCCTGCTGGGACATTAAGTTTCCTTTTCTTCCGCTGTTTAAGAGGTTCGGTCTCTCTCTTACTACTTTCTTCAAAAAAGACTTTGATAAAATCAGTCCAGTTGTTGCTTGAATTAAGCTCTTCAGATACTGCAGTGGCATCACCATCAGGAAGCCTTTTCAGAATCTCATTTCGGTCTAAAGGTACAATACCAGCTGCCTTAAATCCACTTTTTAAGTTTTTGCTTATGTTTTCCTCTCCCAAAGCATCAAGGCATATTTTCAGAAGTCTTGGAAACCTGGCTTTAGTTACCCCATGTTGTGTATCACTGAAAAAAAAAAAACATCACAACAAAAGAAAGAATCAAGTTATAGGTTATAACCTTTACGGGTGTGATGAAACATAAATTGAGGTTATGTTTGTTGAGAGTTATGAGAATTTAAGATTAAAAACGATTTGTTCAGAGCAGAAGTAATGCAAGGTAACTTTTTTATCGATTTTTTAGGTTAAATATATAATTTTACTGTACACTTACCGTGATTTTGTTTTAATTATCCAGACAAGTATTTGGAAAGCAGTCCAAGTTCCTATTAGAAGAACACAACATCAGCTGTTGAATCCAAACAGTGCTGCCACTATCACCATCCAAAAATTACCTGCTATAATGGCTTTAGTTTCCCCCATCTACGGTATATATGTATATATATATATATATATATATATATATATATATATATATATATATATATATATATATATATATATATATATATATATATATATATATATATATATATATATATATAACACAATGACTTAAAAAAACAAAAATAAAGATCAAATAATTAAAATGATTTTCTCTATTTATTTTGTTCTGCCAAAAAATAACATATGACATACCAAGGCCCTGTTTGTTATCTTCATTGAACTGATTGCAGGAGTTAATAAGCTTGTGACAAATTCCAAATTTAGAGAAGAGTACCTTGAAGTTTTTACAAATTTTAATAGTTTCTTTGTGTATATTAGTGTCATTGAACCCAAGTTCGACTACAAGGTTTGGTATGGAGTTGCAAAGTTCAAGAATACTTTACTCCTAATTTAGTATATAAAATAATTGTGAAATATGTATTATATGTAGCAACTGTTGTTAATTACGTATTTAGTTATTTCTAGTAATGTTAGTATAAGCCATCTATTCCACTTACAAACACACACACACACACACACATACGCACATATATTTATATTGTATTGTACATTTAAATTTAGGTACACTTTGTTTTTAGTAAAGAGTAGATTTTATCAATTTAGGAAATATATATTAGATATATTTTACCTTTAACATTTTGTTAACATGATTACCAACAAAACTTTTTGCGTGGTATGCTTGTCTTTGTACTCCTAATGAATTAAGTACCTTATCTAGTTCTTTTACAAGTGGTCCAAATGATTTCTTTATATGGTCTGCTTCAAGCAGCATTTTCAATTCTGAGATCTATGATTAAATATGTTCTTATGAAAAATTCAAAAAAATGTAATCAATAAAGCAAAACTTAGATAATCCAATGTATAAGATAATCCACTGTATTATTCTGGGTTTATTTACCAATCTAAATTAAATATTTTTTAGTGAATAATAAAATTTAAAGTAGTTACCTGTTCTTTCTTTTTCTTCCCAAAGTGAATCAAGTGAGGTTCAAATATTAATTTAATTTTTTATTCATTTTCAGGGTTAAAATATATTTGCATTTCAAGTGCTTCTGTTATAACACGTATTTTATCTTCAAGTTCTTGAACACTTATTTGAAGTTGATTTATTTGGGGCTGGTGCTCTATATATGCATTAAACTCCTCACAGTCAAGCGTTTGGTTGTTTACTGCCATTAGACCTGCAATTTTTATGTCAATTGTGTGACAAGAGTCTTCTAACATGTTGAAAAACTTAAAGTATATACCAAGTGAGATATGTAAAGCAGGAACTCCTATCTAATAGTACAAGAAAGTTTATATTATTTACAATTGCATACACCACCATTTACATTTACCAAAAAAATAACTTGTATTGTATTATATTGAATAAACAATTATTCATGTGAATTTGCGAATAATGCCTAATAAATAAAATAGGAGTAATCAATAAAAACAAAGCACCTGATCAAGTGGCACATTAAACAACCGTTGGTCAATAACATTGTCACATAATTTAGCAAACTTAGGATCTGCACCGTGGTTGTTAAATTTTGCTAGAGATAAATCCAGTGTCTTAAGTAATCGCATTTGAATGTTATCGTTAATTGGATTTGACATTCCTTGACTTGTGATGTTGCAAAACAACATGAGTGTCTACCTAAAGTTAATGAACAAGTTCGTGTTAAAAAGGCAAAATAAATCATGTTTCATATATCTGGCGTAGATGAGTTATTTTAAAGAAATCTGTATTAAATATGTACTCACCATTTGCACCAGTTATTCCATAAATTGCACACAAGAATTCATAATCACCAAATACAAATACGCGAATTTGTTTTTCTCTAAAATTGAACAGAATTAAATTATTATACATTTCTTTAAAAAGAAACTGTAATCCATCATATTCCTGACAATTGTAGTAAGAAATGAATAGTTGATGATTTTGTTTATGTCAAATATTGGATGGATGCTTATGAATTGTAGTGTGTTTGAATAATTGAATTATTTTGTTGTTTGTAATATGTTCTTACTTCCAAATCATTTTTTGCAACAAATCAATATCTGATGTAAATCTTGCCAATGAAATTTTCAAATTTGTGGTATAATCTTTTGCCTTAAATATATTAAATATTGTTGTATTAGTTTTGGCATTAGGCTTCTCCACATTCGCCACTTGATAAAACATTTTAAACAAATCACCTCCATAATCACCTCCTATTTTTATATGGATTTCGTTGTCTTTAATCTTGTTGTATAATAAAATGTTGTTGCTAAAATTATAACAAGAAAAAATAATTTTTGTTTTTATAGTATTGCATTAAATTTATTGTACTATTTTTAAGTAATTTAATTAATTGTAATATGTTACAGTTTTTTTAAAAAAGATTTGTTTGTACCTATCTAGTCTATCTAGTACATTTGTTATATGTCCTTGTAGATTTTCTATATATGCACATGGCGATTCCTTGATTTCATAAGATCCTTTTGAATCTTTTTTTTCAACCATAAATGGAGCGTTTTTAACAATAAGATCGTCACATGACCAATTTTTAGCCACATTTCTTTGTTTTGCATTAAAAGCACATATTACATTGTTGTTTTTCAACCACCTAAAATAATGTTTTTTTTATCATCACTAACTATTAAAAGTATTGAATTTGTTTTTTTTAAGATTTCTATATAATAATTGCAATCTTGTGTACCTTAATAATATATGTTGACATAAGTACTGCTCATGTTTGCTTTTAAACTGATCATTTCTTCAGCAGATATTTTGGCTTTTGAAATATTTGATTTGCTCAGAATATGTTCTTTTTCATATTCATTAAAAGATTTTAAAAGAGTAGCAGTTTGCTTGATTGTAGAACTGATGCTTTCTCCACATGTTTTGCTCATATTATGTTTTAGCTGTAATTGTCTTCTACGAATTGTGCGTAAACATACATCTGAACTTTCTTTGTAGGCTCTTGGTGTTGATGTGAAGCATAAGGGCTAAAATGTTGTGTAATTTATTTAAAATATATTTAAAATCATACTATAGTTTTCTATTATAAAATTAAAAGCATTTTTGTTTTGTTATAGTAATTTTACAGTCTCTACTTTTGTAAAAATAGTCTTACCCTTGGTCCACCTGTCGGAAATTCAATTACATTGGATGTTGTTTGAGACATTTTTTGTTTTATTACATGCAGAGCAGCATCTTCAATGTTTCTTGGTATAATACTTGTTGAATTCAATGCAAATATTTCTGAAAGGTTTATTTGTGAAGTTGATGATGATGATGTTGGTAATGATAATGTTGTTGAACTTGATATTTGAGTTTTCTGTTAAGTTTTTTGATGTTTTTTTCGTTCAGTTGTGTGATTTTAAACAATCTACCACAACCTTGCTTGCATACTTCTTGTAAATTTTCTATCATTTTAATGACATTCGTTGATGAAATTGAACCACTTTGTTTTTGCTATTTGTTTGCCAATGATAAGTGGTAATAGACATGATGCGCAGAATGAATGAAGACAGTTTTTTATAATAATTGGTTTATGCTTTTTTATTGTAAATAGTACAAACACAAAGATGCACGTGAGGGTTTAAGATGCAGTTAATATCTTGCAGTTTAAGATTAAGTTTTGTTTGAGGTGAAAGTTTAGATTGTATGTTATTTATTTTGTGTCTTGTCCAAATATTTTCTTTATAACTAATACTCGAAGATCTTCCACTTATCTTTTTCTTTTTTTTTCTTCCTTTATTGGATTTGAAGCAAACACATTCAGTTAGATTGCAATTTTCAGGCCATGATCTTATTTTTAGTTTAGTGTTTGAACCTTTTTCAATATTTCTTAATATTGAAAAGCATCTTTAACACATTTTTTGAGGATGTATATTTGAGTGGTCTTTATCAATTCGGATAAAAAAACAAAATTCTATTCTAGCAATGTGTTTTGTTGAAAGAACACTATCATTATCTACACTTTCTCCACATATTCTGCATAATGTTTTTGGTAAGTACATGATTCCATAGCGTAAAGTTAGGTCCCGTAAAATGTTCCGCAATTGTCCCGCTTCACGTCCAGGACAGAGTTAACATAATTAATTTTTGCATTTATAATTTAATTTATGAAATAATTAATATTCTTTAAATGTGGAGCACGTTTTCACCTGGTTATCGTCGAAGATTAAATTTAAATTGGTAAAAAATTATTATTATAAATAATAATAATTTAAATTTATTAGAAAAAACAACATTGAGTAGAGGTAATACAAGACATTTTAACTTTTTTAGACAAAATATTTTAAATTTTGAATATAAAAAGCTTAAGTTGATGTTTGTTTTACTACTCGTTTAAAAACATTTCTCAGGAATGACATCCCTGAGAAATTTAAAAATTTAAAAACATTCCGAATGTTTTTAAACGAGTAATATAATATAAGCTTTTTATATTCATAATTTAAAATATTTTGTCTAAAAAGGAATTTCCTCTACAAGCACGATTTAAATGAAGTATCAATTTCCACGTTTGAATGGTTGTTACTGTTTAAATTTTTTTAGTTGTTATTTCTCAAGAAGGAAGTTGGGTTACTGTAGAAACATACGTTGAAGTACTTTTTTTGATACATAGCTACGAAACAGAGGCTGTATCAAAGTTTTCATGCTTTAGTGGCACTATAGCATGATTCATGCTATAGTGTATCAAAGTTTTCATGCCATGAAAACTTTGATACAGCCTCTGTTTCGTAGCTATGTATCAAAAAAAGTACTTCAACATATGTTTCTACAGTAACCCAACTTCCTTCTTTCCTTTCCTTTAGCAGCACTATTAGTGCTGCTAAAAACTGGAAATATGGTATGACAATTTTAATTAAGTGTTTTTAAAATGCAATTGCTAAATTTTAATTTTCTTTTATATTTGTATAGTTATTATTTAAAATTTTTGTTGTTGTTGATATCTTTAAAGATTCTTCTGCAAAACACCACAAAATAAGATGATTCAATATCATTTAATGGTACTCCCTTTATGGTTTTAGGATGTAAAGTGCTTGATTGTATGCACGGGAATGATAGAAAAGCCTCTTCTAAAGAATTTTATAAAATTCATTTATTATTATAATATGTTTTTCTTTATCAATTTGTTTCTAAAATAGCTCCTGTATTTAATGATTATATGTCTAAACCTTTTATTTTTGTTCTTTTGTCTAATTTTCTTAATAGGTATCAGATCACAGTTTTTCAAAAAGCTATTTGCTATATTTAAATTTCTTGGTCACTAAGAAATTTAACTGTAGTTTTCAAATAAAAATTTAGAAAATTTAAAAGTTCCCAAGTTTTAAGGTTTTATTTCATTGTTTGTTTAATTTATATTATTGAAATGAGATTTAAGTCAGTCCTATATTAACTATTCAAGACATACATGCATCAACTTAAAATATAACCAATTAATTTATGCTGATTCTTTTTAAAATAAACTTTGTTTTAGATTGCTGAGGATACTAAATTTAGAAGAGTGCAATTCTCAAACCGTATTAAAGATGTTTTGTCAAGAATAAAGTAGTAAGGGAAAGAGTGTTTCCAGTTTGCTTTCCTTCAAAAAGTTCTCATACTGGTCATTTTACTAGAGATGTAAGATTTCTTTTTTCTTTTTTGTGTAGATAAAGTTAAACAATAGATTTTAAAAGAAAAAAAACATTAAAGAGTTATCCAAATTAATTTTCATTTCTTGTTTGCCTGTTTTAAACATCTTAAAGTTAGTTTATTATTTCAAACATGTTATTTAACTTGTTTTGTCATATAAAATTTGTTAAATTTATATTAATATGTTTAACATTTATATTAATATGTTTCCATTTATTTAAACCAACAATAAGGTTGTAGTAAATCTTAATTGCTATTTTTATTGCTGTTGTTTAGGAACTTTAGATTTAATATTGTTTAAAATATGTATAAACTTTCTTGTGTTCAGTATATATAGTATATCATATTTAGTATCTTGATCCAGATTACTTAAGGCCTTAAATTTAAATGCCTGCTCCTACTGATGGTTTTGTTATATACTCGGTATGTTCTTGTACTATTCCTAATATATGTAATATTGTTCATACAAACTTCAATATTTTCACCAGGGGTGGGTTTTGTCACTCACCAAGGAGGTGGCTAAAATGGTTTTTAAAAAAAAAGGTCCGCATTTTTTCACTTAAAAGTGACTTTCTTTAACTTTTTGTACTTTAGTGTAATAATCAAGTTCATATATGTATAATTACCTATAATAGTCAATTACCTATAATAGTCAATCCCAATGGGGGGCGGGGGCAACTACCCCCATGCCCACTCTAAAACTCGCCACTGATTTTCACAGTCTGCTGAAGCTATTAAGTGTATCAATGAAGAGAACTGATCTATCAATCATTTTTACTAGCAATCAATAAAATATCTCATTGGAAGTAGGAAGAAGGAAGCTTGTACTATTGTAAAATAAACTGATATCTGTTTCTGTAGCATTATATATATTAAAGTGTACTTTATTTTAGATCAAATTGCATGATTTCACATTTATCTTTATTAAAACTGATTAGCCTTTTTTTTTCCAGTTAAATAAGATGTCAAGATCAAACTGTGTAGAGTGATTTATTTATTTATTTTCTAATTGAGTTATTTTCTAAATTTTCAAAATATTTTCAAAAATTTCAAATACTTCTTGGAATATGCATCTTAAATATGGAATTCATATTTTAATAAAGATATAAATTTTATCGAAAAAGTCCAACAAAAAGCCGCAAAAATTGGCTACAAAAGAAAGGGAGCAAGTTACGAGCAAAAATTAAAAGAAATGGGCTTACAAAATCTATCAAATAGAAGAGAAAACAGCGATCTCATTAAAATGTTTGAACTTATAAACAACCATGATATTATCAATTAGAACTGCGTTCCACAAGTATTGGGTAGGCTTACAGAGGCCACGATCAAAGGTCGAGAAGACATTTTGTTAAAAACTTTTTGTTAAGACCAATTTTTTTACAAACCATATACAGTGGGTTGCCAAATTATTTGGGACACTTCACTTTTTAAGTAATTTTAAAGTTTAAATGATTTTTGCAAGCAAATAATTTTTTTTAAATAAAAAGTTTTGAGTGTATTTTAGTCACTAATATAACTATAGTTGTTTTTAAACTGTGGCAATTTGTGATAACCCGATCTGTCAAAAAGTTAGGTTATTACTCAATTAGCTGTCAATTTTTGAAAAGTGTGGTTGAAAGTCAAAAATTCAAAATTGATTTCAGTTACTTATTTTTGGAACAATTTTTTGCAAGTTTTTTGAGTTTAAAACTATTGAAACCTAAATATTCGTTAATAGTTCAATTAGTTTAGTTATTAATTTAGTATTTTTGCTACTTTTAATGCATAAATCCCTGACATTCAACTATTCTTACCTCTCGTTAATTTTTTTAGTCTCCAGACTTAACCCCAAAAAAAAACAGAAAAGTAAAAACCTTACTTCTTCATTCTACACATTCTCAGAGAGAGGTTGCAAGCGTTTCAAAGTCAGTAGTGAGTCGAATTTTAAAAAAAAAAATGGTACAAATGTGACTCTAGAACCAGATCATGTCAGCAAAAGTGTCAGTAAAGGATCACTACTCCATGTTATGACCGTAAATTTAAAGACATCTGTCTTAAAAACAGAAAAAAAAGTGTGGCTCAACTAGCAATAATTATAAACAATGAAGGAATTAACGTCTCCAAAAGGACGGTTCAGGGACGGTTGGTTGAAGAGAATTTAGTGTGCTATCGTTCAACCAAAAAAAGAATGTTTAACTGAAGCCATGAAAAAAAAGTGACTGGAATGGGCTAGAAAACACCAGAATATGACTATTGAAGACTGGAGTAGAGTAAATATAATTTATAATATTGTAAGAAACCAGAAAAATTTAAGGATAAATATTTATTTTTGAAATATCTTTGATATATTTTGCAGGTCAAATATCTTTAAAATGTTTTACAGGTCTGCTTCTTGGGCCAATCAGCATTTCAAATTTTGATGGACAAAAGTTCATTTGTTCGATGATGCCCGGAAAAAAATTTCACTAGGACTGTCTTTTGGAAAAGGTTCAACATCCTGTGAGTGTAGGGGTGTGGTCTGTGATCTCAGCCAAGGGTATGGGCTGCCTTAACATCGTGGAAGGAACCATGAAGCAGGATTGGTCCTGCCATATGGTTCCTTCTTACAAGCGATTACTGGAAAACAGGCTCCTGCTCCAGGTCTAAGAATGGTTCCCTGGTAATAAAGAGTATATGTTCATGCATGACTCAGCACCGTCCCATAAAGCTAGAAGTGTTACAGCATTCCTAACAGAAAAAAAAGTGCATGTTTTGCCATGGCCAGGGAATTCACCTGATATTAACCCTATAGAAAATTTATGACAGTTCATAAAACAGAAAATTGCCAAAAAAAATTATCACTACCAAGCAGCAATTGATAGAAATCCTTATAAGAGAGTGGAATAGCAACCTCAGTCTCCAACACAATGCAGAAGTCTACATAGATAGCATGCCCAGATGCCTGAAAGCTGTAATTGTAGCTAAGGGTGGCATTACAAAATATTAAGATTATTACCTTATTTGTCATGTTTTCAAACTTTTCTATAAAAAAATAAATAGCAATGAATAAGTAATAATGTTGATTTATATTCTAAATAAAACTCTCTACCAATAAAAACAATTAAAAAAATAACAATAAGATACATATTTATTCATTAAAGTAGTTTGTACTTTAAAATTACTTAAAAAGTAAAGTGTCCCTAATAATTTGGCAACCCACTGTAGTTAAAAAGTGTAATTGTTTGCATAGAAAAGTTGTCAATGCCATTTCAGTAATTGATTTCAAGAAAAAGTTTAAAGAATTTAGCTTTGATGAATTCGTTGATGATTTTTCAAGATTTTTTTTTTTGTATTACTTTGTTGTGATATCTTTCTACCATTAGCACCTATCTACCTTTTGATATCCATCTATCTTTATTTGGTATGTCAGCTTTTATACAATTCTGGCCTTCTTAAAAGTGTTGATAAAATGCAAAGAAGATTAGAGATCATTGCCTTAAAAGAAATATTTCAAAATAATGTGTGTCTAATAAGATCAAATAAAAAGTTTTTCCTATCAAATAAAATTATTTGTATTCATATGCTTTTGGTGTCTAATTATATAAGTTGTACACCAAGTAGTCTTTTGTGTTCTTTTAACAAGTGGCTGCAAATGTTTATAATGTATTTGTTACATTCAGAGTTGACACATTTTTGTTATTTTAAATTTGTTTATAATGTATTTGTTACATTCAGAGTTGACACATTTTTGTTATTTTAAATTTGTTTATAATGTATTTGTTACATTCAGAGTTGACACATTTTTGTTATTTTAAATTTGTTTATAATGTATTTGTTACATTCAGAGTTGACACATTTTTGTTATTTTAAAGTTCTAATAACTGTTAAGTTATTAGAAAATAAAGAATAGAGTTAAAGAGTAACAATTCGGTTGACACAAGACTTGAAAATTTGTAGGCTGTATAATTTAGAAAAACATGATTACAGGAGAAAGTTCCAAAGGGTTCAATTAAGGGGAAAAAACTAAACAAATAAAATTTTTTATGGCATACAGGGACAGATACAGTAAAGAGGTGAGACTTTGCTAAATGACGAGTCGAGCAAAATTGAGCTTATGGAACTAGAGGTGAAAGCTCCTTTAAGTAGGGACCATGTTAGTATTTGTAGAATAGAGATGCAACTTGACGACGTTGAAAGAGAGGCTCTAGCTTGACAGATAGAGCAGGTACTAAACAACTACATTTACAATGCATATTTGGACCTTATCTTGAGAAAAAAGAGCATCATCGGAAGAACCAGTCTAAATATGACAACATTATTCCAAATAGGGGCAAAAAAGAGGTTAGCAGAGGTAGAAATGAAGTCGGGAGTAAGAAAATGGCAAGCACGATAAAAAGAAGCAACTTTAGCAGCTGCTTTTTTTTTGCATTTGCATTTAGCAATCAATTGTATATATGGTTTCCATGAAGGGTCATAAATGAATGATAATCCGAGAAGAGGACTCAGTGAAGGGCTTGCTATTTATCAATATAGGAATGTCAACAGTATTGCTATTTGTATAATATAGTTATTTGTAGTAAATAACTAAGTTTGGTTGAAGTTAAAATTCACAAGCCATGCAAGCCTCAATCTGTTACAGAGGTTAGATCAGATTCAAGATTGAATTTTTGTCAAGGCAGTAGTATAAAGTTAAGTCACCAGCAAATAAAGCCACTTTAGATGTAAGGTTGCCAGGAAGATCACTAATATAGATAAGAAACAAAACAGGATTAAGGATAAAATCTTGAGATACCGCAGAAGTTACTAGAAATAAAGAAGAGTGTTGGCATTTAAGAATGACTTTAAATAAGTGGTTCAAATATTTATGATTTTTATAAAAACTGGAGTATATAATTGTATCATCAGCAAATTGAGCAATTAAACCACTTAAGAAGTAAGATTGTCAAATAAGATCAATACATTAATATAGAAAAAAACTCACTTTGGTGTGATCTATATGGACAATATTAGGAGATAACGAGAAAGAGTTTCAAATTAAGGCTTTTTTTAAATTGTTTTTATTGTAGGCTTATTCTCACTCTCTTTTTATTCGTAAGCCCTAATAAAACCTAATGGTCTGTTTTTGAGCACTATCAATGGGAATATTATCACTGTACAAAGTTATTGGCTTTTTTTTAGGATACTTATTACTTAAGTATAAAGACGTCCGAAACTTGTGTTGTTTAATGAATCTTAATGTAAGTAAAGATGTTACTACAAAATAATAACAGTTTATGTGATTAGAAAATTATTTGTTTATTTAGTATAAGGTTTAAGTCTATAATATATTTTTTGAGTTATTGTTTTTTTTAAACTTATTTCCAAATAACTTTAAGTAAATTTTTATGTTATTGTCAGTTATTTATTATTTATATCTAATATAAGTAAGGAATTTTTTTTTTTTTAATGTTATTTTAATTTATGTGTTTTTAAATTCTTTCTACATCAATCGATCTTTTTAAATCAAAATGATTCAGTTTATTTTATATTTCTCTATATCTATATGTATGTTTTCTCTTAAGAAAAATAATTAGGAATAGAAAAATTAAAAAATATTCTTTATATATTTATATTTTATATAACATTAAAAAAGTGTATTGTGTTTTATAGTTAGTATATATGTTTATAATGTTGTCTCCTTGATTTCAAAGTGGTGTGACTTGGCAAACTTGTAAAGCAATATTTGTCAACCTTACCATTCAAGCAATGTTACTGCTTTAGGTCTAAGTTTTGTCTAGCCTTTAATATAACTATACTAAAAAATACACAACATTATCTTTGATAATTTTTTGTTTAATGTTGTCACCTTTGGCTTATCTTTATGTTGGTGTCTGTTGTTTAAAAATGATTAATAGGTAGTTTCATTACTAGGACTCACTGCTTTTATTTATTTACTAAAAGTCATTCAAGACATCATTTCGCTATAAATACATTTTGTTTATCATGAAATAAAAATATTTAACAACTACAATTCAGGTATCACAACAGCTTATCTCTATCAGGTACATTGATTTTCAAATCACGTATTATGTTTTTGTTCATATTTACTTATTCGTTACATTTTTTAACTTCAGATTTATCATATGGTGTATTTATTTGTTATAGAAGAACAAATCATTATAAATTTTTATGAATTTTTTAAAAATATCTGCTGGTAATTAGTCCAGTCAACATTTAAAGTTCAATGTTGCATATACCTTTTTTAAGTAGTTTCTAGGCTTTTTTAAATGCTTTTCTTATTCAAGTGGTTTTACAAGCAAGGTCTGCAAGTAAATTAGAGCTGAAAAGTTTTTCAGCTTTCAAGGAGAATTAATCTGTTTAATTTAATTTGTTTAAATAGAGTAGTTTAAAAAAATAAATGTTTGTTTTTCGTTTTTTACTTTTTCGGATTCTTAAGAACTAGGCAACTTAGACAAGCAAGATTTGCTCTTTTTTTTAGTACAATTAGAAAGAGCTGAAGTGCTTTTTAGTCACTTCGAATCAATTGTTTGTTTGTTTTTTAAATAGAAGGATTAATAATAATAAAAATTTTTAGACAGTTGAACTGTTACTGATTTGAGTAAGTTTAATACTTTGTTTTATTTTTTATTGAATTTATTTTATATTAGATATATTTTATGTATTTAACATGGAAAGCTGACTGTAATTTGTTTGACAGGTAAGTTTATATACATAAATGTGCCTATATTTCAGTATATTTTATATTTCTCTATCTATATAAATATTATCTTAAATAAAAAATAAATAAATTTTTCGAATATATATATATATATATATATATATATATATATATATATATATATATATATATATATACATACATACATACATACATACATACATATATTACTTTAGACTGACATTGCTTCTTTTTTTAAAAAAGGTTCTGCATTTATTATTTTTGTGCATTAAGATTGTGTCTGAAGGTAAAAATAACTTTGTGCATTGTAGTCTAAATTCTTTGTTAAATTAAAAATAATGTAAAAAAATTTTGTTTTATATTTTTAATGAACATCTTCTTTATATAAACTTATAAAAATATATGAATATCAATAAATCTTAATTTAAAATAAAAGTCTTTGATTAGAAAAGATCACAATTTGTAAAATTATTTTACGTTCATTTATTCATTTGTAACAGTAGTATAATCACTGGTAATGTGTTTAATGATAACAGATGTATAATATTAGGCTCGAAGATGTTTTTAGTGTAAATGGTAATAGGTGACTTGAAAAATTGTTGTCAAATGAAAGAGATAGATTTAGGCCTGATAAAATTAATTGTCGTTGAAATGTAAGAAATTCTGCTCGATGAACAGAAAAATTACTTGCCAGAATTCATTGTCAAGCGGTGTTGATGTCTATTAATTTGATTTTATATTAGACACTTAAGAATAAAGCAAGGTATGAATTTTACTATTTATAGTAACAATTAATAACAGTTTCAATTTTAAATGATTTTAATTTTTTTTTTTTTTTTCCAAACATAATTTTGTTCTTTTTTTTTTAGTTGCCTTTATCATCACTTGATTATTTTGCTTACTGTTGAAACATGGTTTTAATTTTGTAAATTTAATATGATGTGAAATTTACTTTATTAATCATTAGTCAATAGTTAGAGAGAAGCTGAATCTTAATTAAGCAATGCTGGAAATTAACTTTTAATTCAGGTAAAAATAATTTTGTTTATTGGTAGCATAAAATCAGTTACTGTTTATAAATCAGTTACTGTTTACTGTTTATTGCATATCTTTTTTACTTTTTTTAACATGCTGCTTTTGAAACACTTCCTCTCTTTCTCTTAGATGAGACTTAAATGACAGTAAGTACAGGGAGAATTGATAAAACTCGTGTAATTACTGAGCTCTTGCGCATTTTTCAATACTACAATTGATAATGACCATTTATAAGATATATTTTATGAGTTGCTATTTAAAGATATAATTCTTTAAATTGTTCAACTATAGTTGTCCCTTAGTTGTTCAAATATTGTAATAAAGAAAATCTTTTTAGTTTCAAGTATTTTACTTTAGGGATTGTCCATATATTATATAATGCGAAATTAAACTTATAGACAAAAGATATATCTCAAAAATCGTGTTTCTCTCATAGCCAACTATATGTTGCATGTTCAAAAACTAGAGCATGTAATAGTTTGTTTTTCACAATTGTTAAACATCCTATCAAGGTAAAAAGTGAACACAAATAGTGTTTACTTTCTATTGTTCTTAATTAATTATCTTTAGATTTTTATTTCGAAAATTTACTGTTAAAGGTTGTGAGCATGTGTAACTTTATTTATTATTTTTTTTTTTCCATAGTTTTTGATAAATATATCTGTCATTTAATATAAAATGTGCTTATATGTCTTATACAAAGTCATATTTGTTTATAGCTGTATATATGTTTATATTGAGTTGTTTCTATGTTTTCAAAGTGGTGTGGCTTGGTATTATGTTGAGCAAGTTTGATAACCTTGCCAGCCTAGAGGTGTACTTATAGCAGAGGTGTGACTTAGCAGCATTTAATGCTAGGCAGTGTTACTGCTTTAGAGCTAGGTTATGTTGTCTAGCCTTTTTAAATTATTCTGAAAACACATAATGTCTGTTAATGTTTAGCGTAATGTGTATGAGAGAGTATGCAACCTAAATCTTTAAATCTAGCGTGCTTTAATGTCCTAAATTTGAAATAATTGAATAACTAATGTTGAATATAAAAACAAATATACCTTATTTAAAGTTTAATAAAAAGATAAATATAACTCCAAAATATTTTTTTAATTTTGCCTTTTATATTTTAATTTAGTTTGTTATTTTCACTGGATTTTATTGCTATGTGTTATTGCTGTAATGTTACTGTTGTGATGTTTTGTGTTGATAGACAGCTTGGCTTACCTTCCCGTTGGCGTCTATTGTTAAAAATGAATCATAGGTAGAGTTTAAAGCCGTGCTTAGAACATTGCACTAGCTGGCTGACAGATTTAGCAGGTGGCTAAAAGCTGAGCAACTTGGCCAACTAGCTGATACTGGCTGACCAACAAAGTTGCTGGCTTCTGGCTGCGCAAATTGCTCTGAAGTAAAATTAGTATTGTTTTCGACAAAAAGAAAACAATAACAATAATGATAAGTTTAAGTTTAAATTAACACAACTTTTTTTTTTCAATTAAAATTAAAATCAAATAAGACTGATATTATCATGAATAAAGATAGTCATGTTCATGTTGAAAGAACTTAAATTGCTTCTTCTTGAGTTCAAAATCAATCCAGTTAGTGAAAACATGGACTCCACTGATACACTTGAGGTTGGTATGCTAAAATACTCTTTTGCAAGCACTGCTAAGTGTGGATACTTTGCATGATGATTTCGCCAAAACAATAAACAATCCAGTTCTTCATCTGTCGTAGGTGTATGAGAGATAAATTGCTCTACTTCCGAATCAATTTGATAATTTTTATCCGCAGAAGTAACACTTTTCTTCATCTCTTGAAGTAGTTGTCGCTTAGCACTAGGACCTGATTTTGAATCTTCATCATTGTCTGACTTTGATATAACTAAAACCAGATAAATCAATTTAATAAAAAACGATATCAATAATAAACAAACATTACTTGATGAACTCAATGATTTAATAAAATATTAACTACTCTATTTTCCACTTTCAACAATATGAAAAAATTAATTATTTTTTCAATAAAATTTGTTTTTGTTTTAGTAATTGTCTCCAAAACAAAAACCTCTTTTATTGATGTAGTTAGTTGTATAGACATATAATACCTTGAATTAAATCTAATTGGTTCACTTTTATGTTTAATGCATTCTCCAACAAACTTTCCTTTATTTCATCTCTCGTATATAAAATTTTAGTGGCTGGATCTAAAAAACAGCAAATTTTTGCAGAAGTAGATAACTTAAATCTTTTATCAATTTTTCGGGAGCAACACTCCTTTAATTTTTTAATTTCATTCAAATCACAAGAGTTAATCGAAAGAAGTTTTAGTATTTTGTGTTTAACTAATGGCAAAATAGAAAGTGAATTTCCAGCACTGACCACAAGGGTTAATGATTCAAATGGTTTTAAAAATTTAACCAATTCTGAAATCAAAGCTTGTTCATCATTATCTAAACAAAGGTCTTGTCTACCACATTTCTTAAGTAAAACTTCTACAGGATCTAATAATTGGTTAATTGATTCTATCATAAAGAGAGC